TTTTTCTAAATATACCTAAACATTAATTAAAACACATAGTTTTCTTAATAAGTTCAGTTAAAAGTATTCAGAAGAGTTAATGGCCAGAATGTTTGTTTTATTTGACATCTATTTTCTAGCATTGGCCTACTGGAACTACAACAACTTGGGGTAATTAGGGAAATTATGTGTTTAAGCTTAAACATATGATACCAATTATAAAAAGTTTTGAGAACATACAAAAACACTTACTACATATGTGAGTTTCCATATGTTTACTACATATATGTGTTTCCATATATAGTAAATTTTTGAAAACGTGTTTGTGAATACTCACCACTAAATTTATGATAGTGGTAGTTTCATTGAAAGAGGGGTAATGGGAGCAGAGAAGAGACTTCAACAGTTTCTGTCTATCTATCTGCCTATCTATCTATCTATCTTATTGTCTATCTATCTCTCAATTATCCATCCATCCATCCATCCATCCTATAAGAGAAAAGTTGCTCTGTAATTATACATTTTTTATCTTTGGAGATGTTTCATAAAATATCAGATAGGTCATTCTTTCAAGAAAGAAAAGAGAGAGGGAAGAATATTAAAAAACTCGTTGATTGGTAATGCCATGCAAATGACAAAGACACAGCTTATAACCAAGGAAAGTAAAAACAATTTAGTGTGTTTAGGGGACATGGAACAAGAGTTGTTCTCCTCTGAATGAGTATCTATATGGAAAATAGCAAATAAAGCTCAAACTGTAATAGTTTCAAGAAGCTTTCCCTTACTAAGTGAAAGGCATGCAATTGAGTCTTTTTTAATATAAGCCATTAAATTAAGAATTGAATTTTATTTAGTGTTTTCCTCTTTAAATTCATCCTCTAAGATATTTTGTGAATTTTGAAATAGTAAATTTTATTAATATTTCAGTTTTCTGAATAAATATTATCTTTTCATTTTATGAATATTACTAATGGTCATATTTAGTGATATGTGCATTCAAATTGATTCAAATATATATGTATGTGTGTGTGAATAAATGTACATATATATATATACACACACACATACACACATATCCTTAAATTAGATAAAACATTATCATTCACTAGTTTCTAGCTACCTAAATCTGGATTAAGTTTAAAAACTTATACTTCTGTTTCAATCAAGTATAATTGATCATTTTAAAATTTAAACCTGAATCAAATATTTAGTATAGAACAAGTATAGGTTTCCAGGACTTTTAATAAAATCAAAAATACTTGTTAGGAAGGAGAAATTACAATAATGTCTTGCATGTATTTAAATGTCCTTCTCTGGTAATTAATTATGTTGAGCAGTTATCTAACCAAGTTAAGAAATAATCTTTAAAGTGAAGACACTATTACTTGGCACTCTTCATTTGAAATTTACTGGAATGATGGTTTATACAGCCCACAGAGATCTTGAAGTTTCTAACCCTCCACTCTTCACGTGTCTATGCATACCATGTTCATAGCTACATGAACAAACCTTGGGAAAAGAATCTCACAATAAACACAACCTGGGTCTGTATTAGTTTTTGCAGTTTTGGGTAATTTTATAGTTTGGTTCAGTTATTACATATTTTTAATAAGTGAAACATCTCTGGTGGCTGTAACTTTTTGTTTTGATTTTTTTTCTTTACTGTTCCTGACAATGACATACTATCATCCCCTTTTAAGTGATTGCTACTTTTTATAATATTTTAATCATATTTTCTAAAATCTTTGCGATAATTTTCATATTTTCAAAAATCTTTGTGATAATAATCATATTTTCTAAAAATACAATCATTCTTTTTCTTTAAAACCAAAAATGATTTCACATGATGGTTACTGATAACATTTTCATCATCTGTATTTAAAATCTTTAGAACATATAACAATTTCTCCTTTCCTCCCTAGTATTTCTTACAGTAGCCTTGTTTAAAAATCTCATTTAAGTCATACTACTTAATAACGTTTTTGATGAAGGGATGATGATGATGGTGTTGGAAACAAAATCAAAGAGTTAACCACAGCGTCCATGTTAGCCATTATTCTTGTTGTTGTTGCCATAGCCATCTGAGCTTCATGATTCACTCAATGTACTAAAGCATTTTAATAAATATTACCTTAATATAATCTGAAAACTGTAACTGCGTGATCATTCAATAGTATTTTTTTTTTGAATTTTAAATAGGGAAGGAAGTGAGCATTTCTCCTGAATACTTAATAGATGCTACATTATATCCAGCCTTTTAGAAGAACAATACATCCCTGAACTTATCATTTTGTAGTTTAAACACCGCAGCTTGGAGACAGTCAGTTAAATATTCTCGGCTGTTGAACAATGAGAACACATGGACACAGGGAGGGGAGCACTACACACTGGGGTCAGTTGGGGGGAAATAGGGGAGGGACGGTGGGGGGTGGGAAGCTGGGGAGAGATAGCAAGGGGAGAAAAGCCAGATGTAGGTGATGGGCAGGAAGGCAGCAAATCACACTGCCACATGTGTTCCTATGCAACAATTTTGCACGTTCTTCACATGTACCCCAAAACCTAAAATGCAATAAAACAAATAAATGGGAAAAAAAAATATTCTCGGCTGAATAGACATACTTGCTTCAATCCCCAGATGCTTTTCCTGTCACTTCATCTGTCACTAACCTGCCCATTTTTCTGTTTCACAGTCACATTCTGAGAGGGTTACCTGACCCTGCAATTAAAGCCCAATCTGCCACAGGTGGGTGTCTAGGATGACCTTTCAAATAGTACTGCATTTTGTAAGAACTTTCAGTACTGAAAATAAAGCATAATATCATGTTCTCAGTAAGATGCACTGTCACCATCTTTCTCTAAGTCAACAAGAGGCCAGAGGTAATGCCTTTAAAACTAACTCACCCAACCGGCAACCTCCTCTATACTGGAATAAGACCTATCTGCTCATTTCACAGCCAGTTGTCAGTCTATTGGCTCTCTCTGTATATGAAAGCATAAATTAAAGAGAAGAAAAATGAGGAAGGAAAATGCCAAGGAGAAGCAATGAAAAGGAATAAAATATTATGTTTCAGATGGCAGGATTCCTAGATGCTTTGGTAATTTCTGTTTCATGCATTTTCCCTCCAGGATTCCATACAGAATTTGGGGATGATTTGCTATTCCCAAGTTATTATTGCTATATCAACCCACTCTGTCAACCTAATAGTTGAATTAACTCAAATCATGATTTGCCAGCATAATAAACTCAAAATTACGTTATCAAGGAAAGATTCAGTGGCAATGAATTAATGAACATCTGTTCTTAGAGAAAATCATTTACATGTTCTGTGCCTCAGTTTACTTAGCACAGATAATCTCTAGAGTCCCTTGTAGTTTGATTAGTTTATGATTCTATGAATTTCTTATAGAATAAATGAAAAATATATTTTCTTTTCACAAAGCAGGCCTTTAATTATAACTTTTATCGTCATAACTGCAGAATGAGACTTGGTTTTTAATCTTTAATGTGAATCATTGTATTGAATTACTTAAAGTAAATGTTTTTAAAAATAAATTTTTCCATTTATCTTCTTGCATTTTTCCTTCTGTTGTTAGCCTTCCTCTCAATAGATGGTGCTCTTTTCTCAGAGACAATACTTATCTTATTCCTCATGAAAAGATCAGGGAAATTAGCTTTACTCTTTAAAAATCATTAATTAAAGAATTCAGACACATGAGTGGAAAGAATTGCTTATAAGCAATTTGCAGCATCTTGGTAATAAAAGCATACCAGGGAGAGCAATTGTTAAATGATTTAAGAGGTCCACTCAAACCTGCAATACTTGCTGAATAGGTGAAATATTGTAACTAAAGGTGAAAATGCCATGTTCCCTACATACACATACCCCGGTTAAAAACAAAAAACAAAAAACATCTAACTAGGAGCCATTTTAAAGTGTTAAAATATTTATCTTCTTTAACAAAAACAGATATATGACATTTCACATTCACATGTAGTATTTGAATATACACATCAACACCAACACAATCAGTATCAATCACAATCAATATTGAGAGCTTGCACACTCTGCTAAATATAGGTGGAAGATCTGAGTAAACAGAAAGTGGTCCACAATTCTTTTGAATTAATTTTACCTGATAAGAACACTTTGTTTAGAGCACCCATCACAACTTTCTGTATAAGAGTTTCTATAGTTTCTAATGTGGAATTATGGTGCTTTTGGTCACTCCTAATTAGCTCCAACTTGTGGAGGCATTGAAATACAGCCATGCCCTGTGGTTCTCCTGAACCACCCTACCCATTCCAGATGCAGTTTGTGACTTAGGCAAGCTGAAGCTACCAACGGCAAACTAGTCTAGGCAACACAGCTGTCATGTTTGTTATAACAGAACAAAACTACCATAGAGAGATGCCAGGAAAACTTCCTTTATCTAGTGTTGCCTCAGGATGAAAGGAAGAGTTGGGTAAGGGTTGCTATGGCAGGGGAGCAGAAAGGGTGGGGTTGTGGTACAGGGAAGTACTGAACCAGCAGAAGTAGGAAAGTTGCCAAGGTTTATCTCAAAACAACTGAGAAGACTTGTGTCTGACCACCCTCTCCCCGCCTCCCCCCAATCAAATTTGGGAAAGAATTTCTCTCCCATTTTTCACAACTTACTCTTTCCATAGCTCCTGCAAAGGGACTGAGTGTAAGACTCTGACAAGAGCTCTCCTTGCTCAGCATATGGAAGAGCTCTAAGTCTACACTTATCTTCACCCCCACCCCTAGACCTTTGTAGCTTTTACCAAAGCAACTTCTCTGCTTCTGAAATTTTGGAGTATTTCTTTAGCAATTGGAGAAATATAGAAAAGTAGGTTTTTGCACAGAAATAGCAATCACTGTCCGTGGTCACCTCCAGAGTTTCCCCGGCTTACCTCCCCTCTCTCATCCTCCCGCCCAAGATTGAGCCCTAGGGGTCAGGTATCTCTTTGCACCCCCGTGAGCCTCTGAATCCTCCGCTTGGAACCCCGGCGCCTTCCTTACCTGACAATCACATACATGACCAGGAAGTTTCCGAAGAGCCCCACCACGCACACGACGGAGTAGAGGGCCATGATGGTGATGGCCGTGATCATGGAGGGGCTGCCGGTCGGAGGGCAAGGGCTGTCGCTCCCGCCCAGGTCGGTGCGGTTCGGACCGCAGGGGTCGGACAGGTTGCCATCTAAGTGGGACAAGTTGACCCAGGAACCAGGGCTGGGCGCTGGGGAGCAAGTGGAGGGCGCCAAGGGATCAGTGCAATTGCTGGCGTTCGCGGGGACTGCGCTGCTGTCCATGGTGCTGCCGGCCGGCCGGGCACCGCAGTGCGAGGGAGCCAGGAGCACCAGGACTTTTCGGGTTCCAAGCGCCTCAGCCGCTTCCTTTCGCCGCTGCCACAGCTCTTGCTATTTCTTACAGAGGCCAGTCCTGGAGGAGCCAGAGAGGAGCGTCAGGCGGAGGGGACCGAGCTGAGCATCTGACATTCTCCTCTGCCTATACCCCCCTCCCACCTTAGTAGTTCAGAGAGGCTCATCCCCGACCCCGCGCGGTGGCTGCGGTAGGGGAGGGTGGGCCAAGAGGGATTCGGAGGCTGGAGGGGAGGGAGGAGAGAAAAGGGGTGGATTTTGCGCAAAGCGATCCAAGGAGTCGGTCTCCTCACTGGGCACTCTTCCGTGCAAACACATCTAAGGGAGGGAGGGAGAGAGAAGGACTGGGGAGAGAGACAGAGTTAGTTTTTGGCAGCAGTGCAAAATAAGAAAGGGGGCTAACATCACTCCATTTTCCAGCTCTTTTTTCTCCTTATAATCTGGCAGGGAATACATTGGCTTGGTGAAGCCCTAACAACCCTAAAACCCCAATGCTCTTTCATCTCTACTGCCAATTTTGATTATTTGGGAGTAGGGGGACACACAATCTTCTTTTGCAGTCCTTGTTGCTAACATCTAAGAAGAGGTAATAATGTTTTTCCAATTTTCTTCCCTACCGACTTGTTGGAAACAACAGCGAACCTCTATTATCTGAAAAATAAATGAGAAACAAATAAACTTTTGTGGAGAAAACCTGTTCCCCGCTTTCCCCAGTTTCTCTTAGGGTGAAGCTCTGTTTGCCTATGATTTTGTCTTAGTGGGGAAGAGGCACAAGAACTGGTTACAGAAATCAGAAGGTTGTGGCATCCAGTAAAGTCGGCTAAAGATAATGTTGATCTTTCACATCTTAAATCTCATAGACCTGTTTGGAATTATTTATCCTTGTTAACTCCAGACTTTCTCGATAGGCATATGCTTCTGAGAAGAAGGTTGTTAACACCAAACAAAATTTGCATTCAGTCTGTTTTCTAGTGTAGGAATTCTAGGAAGAGCCACATGGCATATGGAATTAGAGTGGCCTGCAACAAGATCCTTGAGGAGCATGGATATGTTTTTGAATTTTATGCCTTACTTTAGAAGTGAGGTATAAAAAAAGAACTTACTCTTTGTATTTACAAATTTGTTTATAAAATAGAAGTTCACTAGTGCTTTTATTTTATAAACAAATTTGTAAATACAAAGAGTAAGTTCTTTTTTTTGTAAAGTTAACACCAGTTCTGAAGTAGTTCTCATTTCTGTATGTGTATATATTTGTGCATGTATCTATCTTTTGACCATAAACATTGAAAATACATATTCCCAGTTGGTCTTGAAAAGTGAACTGCACTCTTGGGAAGCATGGAAGGAAGACGTTGAAAGAAATATTTAATTCCAATATTATTTTTAGGGATTTAGCTTAGAAACAGATAACTCATAGGTAAACTCAATTAATCATAGGCTATTTTGCCAATGTTGAGTATTATTTTTATCCTCTTACATTAAAGGATATAATTTTCACAATAAAATGTTACAGAGGTTTCCTAAAGACTAACAAAAACACCTTAAAACATCTCCTTCCATGAACTAATGTAACAATTCTCTTATACTGAGCTGAAATTTGTCTGCATGCATTCAGTTCCTTTGTGCTTAGGTCATGTGGAATACAAGACACAGTGTAATAATTCCTGGCCTTGAAGTCAAATCATTTTATGAATCAGCTTTGTAACTTTGTAGCTGTATGAATTTGGATATGTTACTTTACCTTATAGGATGACAGTTTTCTCACTAGTTAAAAAAAGGGGGTTTGGGCTAGTAATATCCAACCTCATATGTCTGTTAGCAGGATTAAATGAGTATATATTGCAATAGTGATTGGTTAATAAGTGATAACTCATTACCATTATACTTCATGTCTTTGAAATCAACTGAGTAGTCTCCTATGCAAGTTAAACATTAGTATCCTTCAGTTGTTTCTTATAAGATGTAGTTCTGAGATCTTTTAGTGTTCATCCATTCTCATTATAGTTTGTCTATCTGCTCTTAAACTACAGCTCCAGTGTTAAAAATAATGATCTACATTTGCCCTGACCAAAAAACAAACAACAAAAAGAAACCGAGCCAAATTATAAACTTTATCTTTCCACCAGTAAAATAAAAGTTCCATTTTTAAAAAATTTTTGTTTTTTGTTGACATTGCTGTCTCAACTCTCCTTAAGTTTACCAATAACAAAATTCCTAACCACCATGCAAGTCAATTCCACAAATACTAAAGATCTGCTTCGGACTAGTTGCTATGATGGGAGCTGGAATTTAAAAAGATGGATACAACTGTTCTTGATTACAGAAGCTTTATTCTTATGCCTGGTGAATACTGTGTTTCATCTCCTATAAATTCATAGTTGCTTTGGAAGGAGCTTAGTACAACACTATAGACTTTTTTACTTTTAAGTTACATCTTGTTAGATCCAGTTCATAATTCTTATCCACCAAGATCTTTTGGAATGGTGATTCTGTCATCTTTTGTATGTATTTTGTAATATACCTTTTTTTACTCTCCTAGGTTTGTAATCTGTCTAATAAGGTTCTTAAGGGAGACCTGCTCACTAACACAGTACTTAATAAATAGTGGACTCCCTCCCTCATTCTCTGTGTTTCTTTCTATATTAAATATATATGAATATGCATGTGCATAATATTTGAATTCAATTGAAGAAATAGTGTATATTTTATGCCATTATCTATTTAATAAAATAATCTAGGTGAATTTTTAATGATACAACTTGAAAGTAAAACACCTTCATGGGAAATCCTTAATGAATTTTGTCCTTTTTGACTCAATATAGTGTGTTAACCAACCAGGATTTAACTGCATAGACTTATGAACTAGGCATATGCCTTTTCTTCTAGAATTATAGACAAGGAGCAACCCAATTCCCATTGCACTTTTCTAGAAACAGTTGTTTTCTATTCTGTTTTGTAAAGAAATTCAGTTGCTTTTTAGAGCAGGAATTGAACTTTACGCTTCATCTTCTCAGCTGAGATTGATGTTTTCCTTTTCTGTTGGTCTCTATGATGTTCTGCTGAGAATAGTTTTTCTCCTTCTATTTTGAATATAAAATCTTCTGGTTATCATTGCGTGTCCTTCCTTAAGTTGTATTAACATTTATATCTCGGTATCTTCCATCCATTTAATGTACAATTTGGGAAACCGCAGAACAAATTTAATTTTCTTTCAAATGTATTGACAACCTTGAGAAATCTAGAGAACTGTTGCAGACATAATAAATTAATATCACTTACTATGTAGTATAAAAAGACCTCAATTTCAAGCTTTTTTAATTTCAGAGTTGCCCTGTGGTATATTCTCCCTTTCCTCCATTACTGTTCATTTCCTACTCAAGTGGTCTGAAGTCTATTGTGAAAGCTCAATCTCTCATAAAATGACATGGACTGTAAATAAATGAGTCAATTTATTAGAAACCTAATTATTTTATACAGTATTGATCCCAAGCATATAATCTTTTATTTCACTAAGTCTTAATATGTAATCTGTACAATTGAAATATCTGTCTTTTTGTTGATGCTTCTTGCTTAGCACAGGCTTTCTATTTGAAGTAAGAATATTTTATTATCCATTTAGATTTAACATTGCTATCAAACACATATCTTGCAACCTTTTTCACAAAAATTATTTGTTTCAAAGCAGTGTATTTATTCATACCATGGATGAATCCCAGGAAAGTGCTAAAAGTCACTTCTCTTTGAATTTCAACACCTATTGGCTTAGTTATTCATAGAATTGCCATCATCCTACACTTAGTTTAATAGCTTAGTCCTGATTCTGTTGAGAGTGGCTGTTAATGGAACACATGATTAATGGCTGTTAATGAGGAACACAGGCATAAATGCTATGCAGGAAACAATTACAGCAGTTTGAAGCTCAGAAGAAGGGACATCCAAGGTTTCATTGGAAGAACATTTTATGTATTTGTTTATAGCTATCTCTATGTTATCTAACATTTAAATGTGCGTAGCTAATGAGAATGCAAATGCATTGTAATACAGTTTTATCCTTGATCACTGGATTGTTGCATACATATCAATGAAAATGGAATAGGCACTCTTTATTTGCATGGCAGAAAATAAATAAGTAAATGAAAGCAAAAAACTCCTCACACCAACTTCTACCCAACAAACCTGAAACAAAGGCATCTAGAATAAAGTGGATAAAAGCCCTGGACTTTTGATAAAAAAAAAAAAAGTAGTTCAAAATCTAGACTCAACTATTTACTTCCTTGTGACTTATTAAATTACATTTGATTTTCTTTTCTGTAAAATAAAAACATGAGAATCAACTTCACAGAGGGTTTATAGGATTACACACATATGAAAGAATTTATCCTTTGTCTTTTGGCTTTTTATATCCTGTTGTATGTGGCCTAGAAATTAGCAGGAAGAATTCTTATAAATATTACACTGTGTTTAGTAGTATGGAATTGACCTTAAACAACCTGATTTTTTTAAGGATCTGAAGGTGGTATCTAGGGTTCAACTAAATCAACTCTTTTGAAAATTTATACCAACAACTAGTTTAAAGGATACATAGGGTTAAATGTCTTTCTAAAACCCGGAACCTCATTTCTGTGCAAGTTTTGCTCTTCAGTTTCCAGTTACAGAGGTTTGCCATTACCCTAGTACAGCCCCTTATCACTTTCTATTTAGATAAACGGTTGTCAGATGTTTCAGTCTCAGGACTCTTTGCACATTTAAAAATTACTGAGCATCCAAAAAGCTTTTCTTTATGTAGATTATCTTTATCACAGTCGATCATATTAGAAATTAAAACTGAGAGATTTATAAAAACAATTCTTTATCATTATATTTTAAATAACAAAAACACACCTATTACATTTAAACATGAATATTTTCTAGGAAAAAGCAATCCTATATTTTTCCCAAACAAGAAAATATTTAGTGAGAAGAGTGGAATTGTTTTACATTATACAATTCTTTTATTATTGTTCTTTTTATTATACTTTAAGTTCTGGGATGTATGTGCAGAACATGGAGGTTTGTTACCTAGGTCTACACGTGTCATGGTGGTTTGCTGCACCCATCAACCCATCATTTACATTAGGTATTTTTCCTAATGCTATCCCTCCCCGACTCCCCAATCCCCTGACAGGCCCCAATGTGTGATGTTCCCCTCCCTTTGATCACGTATTCTCATTGTTCAGCTCCCACTTATGAATGAACACATGTGGTGTTTGGTTTTCTGTTCCATTCTAGTTTGCTAAGAATGATGGTTTTCAGCTTCATCTATGTCCTTGAGAAGGACATGCACTCATTTTTTCTTCATGGCTGCATAGTATTCCATGGTGTGTATGTGCCACATTGT